GCGCTCCCAAGCGGCGCACTCTCCAGTGTGCCACCGGGCCAGCCCTGGCTTTATCATTTTCTATTTACCACATATAAACTCTTGCAGTAACAACAACAGCAAAATTATTTTTTAGTGAAAAGTAACCTCAAGGAAATGTTTCAGAATCTAGAAATTTTTGAACATCAGATGGTGTAGGGAAAATATAGGAAAATGGTCAGGGCCCCCAGATGTTTAGAATCTTGCCAAGTATTTGATGTAAATATGCACGTGTGCCCAGGTGTTCCTTGGCTACTGTCTGATGTAGATGTGTGTGGGCACCCAGGTGTCCCTTGGTTATGGACTAAAGTATAAAGGATGAGTGGCTCTGATCCATGGTGTTCCCTGTTCCCGGTGGGGCCACAGGGAGGCCGCCACCATCACTGCTGCCACTGAATCTGCTGTAAGCTGCTGCCATCGCTGCTGCTGCTGCTTAAGAAGCTGAGGACTGAGCTCGTGTTGTCTGCCAATGGCTCCAGGAATCTTTTCCCAATTATCTAGCATGGACCTGTGTGTGAGAGGTCTGGTGACCCGGCCAGGTGTGTGAGGGGTCTGTGGGTGACCCAACTGTACAACGGATTTGAAGGGTCTGTGGGCCCTAACCCCAAACCCTGACAATACAAATAGAAAACTTACTGTAATTAAATAATGAAACATTTTAGCTTTAGTTATGAACTGCCTAGCTATACAATTGGCATAGTCACTTAGCAATACAGTTGACTATGTCAGCAGNAAAATAAAATAAAATCTTATTACAAAAGTAATGACTTCTTGTTATTGTGCATTGTCACAGTGTACTCATTTCTGTTTTCCCCTTACTCTACTCTCATATGTGAAGAGTTTTAATAACTTAATTCTTGGCTTCCTTCTTTTTACTTCCTTTAAGCCAATAGCTCCCAAACTTTGGTGTACATTAGAATCACCTTGTGAACTTTTAAAAATCCCTATACCCAGGTCACACACCAAATTAAATGAGAATGTGTGGGGATGTGGGAGAGTGCCAGGCATCAGTATCTTTTAATGATCCCCAGGTGATAATAATGTGCAGCAAAGTTTGGGAACTACTATCTTAAACTTTTAATAATCTTTCCATTAAGTGTTAGTGTCCTAAAGGTCCAAGATGCATACCACTTTTTAATCTGTAATCTGAATCACCTGTGTAAACCTGGCATGGCAGAGTCACTCTAGTATCTGATGAGTGAACGTACCACTAATATCTTAATCTGGCCTTATCATTTTTCTTTCTTTCTTTTTTTTTTCTTTTTGTCTTTTTTACTGACCGGTAACGGGATCGCAA